ACACACACACAGGAGAAAGTGATGGTGTTTACATGGACATCTGTAGTCGAATTATATGCCAAATTATTAAATGGTGGACTTTAACTGCAGTTTGGCTCTTTCATTCAGGGAATTCATTAATGCCCCTCGCGACAAACTAAATATTTGATTCGAGGAGCTGCTCTAAGCATGTATTTTTCATGCAATGTTTGATACCGTATGGTGAATGAGAAAAAAAACCCTCAGTATTTCCCGGAAACTTAGATGCACACAGCAGGTAGTGTCAGTAAGCTGCGCGTGTTATTCTGGTCACAAAATGCGGCGAAAATCCTTCACGAGGTTAAAGTTTGGTTGTGGTGCTAACATGTTTACACTCGGTGCAATAGTTAACTTAGTTCGATACGAACAAACTGAATAAACAAAGAGCACTGGTCGCTCACTTACCAAATCTGTAGAGGCAGGACAATCACCAGCAACTAGAACCGTGTCTTTATTAAGAGGAGACTACAAGCGAATCCAGATCTTATCGTTTGCAGATGAGAACAGCTCTCAGGTAAACAATGTTCCTCCTTAGACACGTAAGTACACTGTTAATCCACACGTGACTCCAGCTGCGCTCTCACAGAGAGAAAATGAAAACAACTTAACTGCAGCAAACTATAAAAGCAACACTTCACTTTTGTTTTGCCAATACAACGTGGTGTGTCTGTCATCTAAACACTGTGACAGAAATGAATATTAATGAAGTTGCACAATAGAGCGCGCTGATTGGTTTGAACCAAGCCTTACTCATGCATTAATGCAACACACTGTAAGATGTAATAAGACACACTCTGGCATGGACATCCTGTCTGCACGCTGGAATACACCCTATAATGTCATGGCCGTGACGCAGCTTCAAAAATTAGTTTCAAACCGGAAGTACGAATTTGCTTGAAATAACGCAAAAACAACCAATTTACGTCTCTTAAGTGGTCTCTTAATCTTTTCCGATAGATAGATAGACAGACAGACAGACAGACAGACAGACAGACAGACCATTTGAAGGTTTAAAAGGGCAGGTTAAAATTCTGCAAATAATTTGATTAAGGTTATTTTTACTGTTTACTGTACAAGGAAGTATTATTAATCATGCGAAACATGTTTTGAGTTGCCTGCAGGCTAAGGTAAGGACATTCCCAGATATTTCTGCAAGGAATAACTAAAGATATAAATCAGATCACTGTGAAACTATATTTTTGGGATTTTTTTTAATATAACTTTATACCAATGCTGTGCGGTACATGTAATCACAATCTGTCATTAACCACACTAAAATTGGTCTTGTTTATCTATGACATGTATTAATAGTAGTACCTTTTTTAGACTGTTGATGGCGTGTTTTAGTCAGAAATAGGCGAAATACAAATGTCCAGTGATTTAATACTTTAAAACTTGAAAATCTTTAAAATCATCCTAAAACACAAACCTTCTTGTCCACTGACTGTGTATACAAACAATTACTTTTTTACAATGGGCTTATGGAATTAAAAAAGGGCTTATGTTTTTGTTTGCATTGTGACTTTCCATAAATGTTAAATAGAAGTGATATAGCCACAAAGACACTACACCTCTCTGATCAAAGATTTTGCTCACTATATAATAGAATGTTTATTTTGGTGTTGAGTTTTTTAATTATGTACCACTTCGTTTGCTAAGCCTAAAATGAAATCCTGATACATTTTTTGTCATATTGTTTTGTGTGAGTGTTTTTTTATCTCTTTATATATATATATATATATATATGATTTATTCGGGTTGAAAAGAATAACTTGACCATTTTAATGTTGGTGCAACTGTAATATGTATTATGTCCTTGAAAATGAAAATGAAATCTAATTAATTGTGTTAGTGGCTGTGTTCAGACCTGTTTCACTATGATAGCATTTTATCTGTGTATGAGACTTTTCCTATACACTAGCATGAACAGACCTGTCTGAATATTTAAGCTTGCATTCCTGCTTTTAAGACTCAATTTTTTCTTTTTTTTTCTATGAAGTATATACCTCACTAAACTTTGATTTGACTTGATTGTTTTGATAAGGGCTTGGAATGGATTTTCAAGTAAATATCACATATCACAAAGTTTTAACTGAAAATAAATGTTTGGGAACTACTACTTTGGTGTTGTGTTATCTTTATTAAGAATGCTCGCCAAACAAGCTGTCATGTTGAATGCATTAAAACAGTATAGATTTATTTTCTATTGTTTTATTGCAGTCATTTAGATTGAATAAATTGCAGAGATTAATTGTGGATCAAAAAAAGCACTTAAATATTTTATCTTTACATAAACATTTTTTGTTATTCAACAAATCTGTGTAATTGTATTTACCAATGGATAAAAACAAAATATTTACACACTTCAAAAAGGAAAATCTCCCAAATTAGACTATTGCATTATTACTATTACTATTATGCTACAGCTGCTTAAACGCTGTGACGATTACAATTTGTGCAGTGTATTTTACACGTTTTAAAAAGGTGAGGACGACATTGCAAAAAGTACTTTAGTTTTACTTTCATTTTTAACCCGTCAATGGTTAAACAGTAGCCTAATTAGTTTTACTTTACCAGGATATAGCAATGGGAAAAAAAAATAGGTGTGAAACATCTGAGGACAAAAGTAATGTAATTCCTATTATGCCAGTAGAATATTCTGTGCTGCAACCAAAGTATGTAAAGATGTTTATTCTTCAGTTTTCAACATTTAAGCTCGTCTGTGTAACGATTAATCTTCATTCAAGGCCGACCTGTATTATAGCCAACCTGTTTCCACTGTTTTCTTTCCTTAGAAAACAAAATTGTTAAAACCACAGACTGTGGTCACATAATGAATCTCATCTTAACCCAGAGAAATGTCTGTAAAACTAGTTTATACTGCATTGTATTGTATGCGTTGAAAGAGAAAGAAGGGTGGGAACGTGACAGACAACATTATTGGCACATAACTTTACTGAGCTGCTGTATGATTGGTTAACGCTTTAGTGAGTCGTTTGCCTTCAGGTGACTGCGTTGTTTATTAGTTTGTCATCAAAACGCTCCTAAATTTCACAGAATCCACCACAACAAATCAACAGCGATGGCAAATAACACCAGAAGTCATGAATCAGGTAAGGGCTTCATCTGGTTGAATAAAAGAATTGTGTAAAATGTTTCTTGTTCAGGCTCATCTGCAGGTTTCATTTCATTATTTCGGCACATTTGGTTAAAAGTTAATAATTTAAATCAGTATGCTTGGTCTTTTAAAAGTGTGCTAGCTATGGAAAAGGATGTGTTTCAGGAGGACAAACAGCTGAATTAGGTTTATAATAACTTATTCTTTTTTATGAAAGTGAGCAAATGCAAGAGTCTGTGTACAGTGTAAATATAGGAAAAGCTTAAGGTTTACTTTAGTTTATTTTTCAATGTATAATATAAACCCTCAGAATTTAATGGTTAAAATTAGATTTTTTTTATTGTTCTTCTGTTGGTGGCATCTCCCATAAACACACTAGAAACTATTAAAGTGTAATTGATTTAACGACTGGTGATTGATGGTTGTAGTGTTTTAGTAATATTTGCAGTAGAAACTGCAATCAAAACCTCTTCTTTTCTTCAGCAGCGTTATTAAGCCATTAAACTCCAACTTGAGCATGTTCATTGATCAGTAGACTTGACCTTAAAATAGGTTCTCTGAATTTAGTTTAAACTTTATTGTCCGTTCTGCTTGACACAGAAAGGAAATTTTTCTTCAACACTGGATTTAAGACAACAATTACAAACATACAACAACCACACAATAACAATATTCATCAAAACAAAAGCATAAGTTAAAAGTTTAAAAACCAAGTTAACCCTTTACAAAATACTGCAGATCATTCTTGGCAACCACCTCACTCACTTCAAATCCGATTTAAAATAACTGCTATTGGGATAAATGACTTTTTATAAGCATTTCTTTGGGCTTTAGGAATTCTAAACCTGCGTCCTGATGGTGATTCAAAAGCAGAGTGAAGGGGATGAGTATTATCTTTCCAAATCCCGATTGCTGTTTTTTCCATAAAGGAGTCAAATAGAATCTGCAGCGAATGTTTTTTGTGACTAGTTATCTTATTTTCCTGATTGATAATTTGCAATAATATCTTCTTCTGTGTTGTGCTACAAAACCATGAAGCAATATTATATGTGAGAACACTCTCTATTAATGATCTATATGCCATGTTTAAAAGTCTGTGTACTTCCATTAAAATTTCTCAACTTTAATACTGAAATTTAATGATTGAAATTTCCATGACTGAATGAATTCATTTAATTTAATGAATGAATTTCTAATGAAATTTAATCATTTCATTAGAATTTCTCTATATCTCTTTGACCACAGTTAGTCCAAAAACTATCTATGATTAAATATTTATGATTGTAAAGGTTTATATAGATTGCATTTTTTCCTTGTCTATGTGCTATTCATATGCAAATCTGTATTATGTTTGCATACCTTCCAACGTCGTGTATGTATCTTTGCCCATGTACAGTACTCAACATTTGAAGTGGATCAAAATCTTTTATCAAAGTTGAAACTGTTGTAAAACAGCCATTGTTGTCTTATGATAATTTTGAAAAGGTTTTTTTGATCCTTTTAAAATGATCAAAAGACAACAATGGGTATTTTCCAACAGTTTTAGGACAACTTTGATGAAAGATTTTAATCCACTTTAAATGTTGAGTACTGTATGTTCATATGTTTATTACATGTCGAGTGTCGTACTGTGGTCTTGTTTCTTTCTTTAAGTTCACTTGCAATTTTTGAGTGATTTGCAGTTTTCTGTTTTCTGATTTGGACTTTTTTTTACTTTGTTAAAGAAAATATAACAGAAACCGATGGCAGGATTCAAAGGTAACTCCTTAAAAAGGATACAATGTATTTATGTAAACATTGTACAGTTATGAGATTGAGTTACTCATTTATCACACTGTACATTAGTTACATTAGCCAATTTATTTACTATTAAGTAATAATAATATAGACTTGTGCATAAATTATAAGGCTTAGTTTGTTAATTTCAGTAGTTTCTAACAGAATATTAAAATCCACAGTTGTGCTTGTTAACATTTGTTAATCACTATCAATTAATAAGGACTCACAACGAATTTCATTAATATCAACTAAGATTAATAAATGCTGTAATAGTAGTATTGTTTATTGTTTGTTCATGTTATGAATGCATTAACTAATGAAACCTTATTGTAAAGTGATACTGTTATTAATGCTTCAAATGTTATGTAATTTTACATGTAATTCATCTTTGTCTTTAGTGTGTATCCAAATCAAGAGTATGATATGAGACACGCAAGGCGAGGAATGGCTCTCATCTTTAACCAGAAACAATTCGATTGGAAGCTCGGACTGAAAACCCGCAATGGCACAGATAAAGACAGAGACGACCTTGTTAGCAGGTATTTGATGCAAAACATGCCGATTAAAGCAAGTAATTAATAAGCAAGTAATTTTTCCTGTATTGTATTGAGGTAAAGAAACTGTAATTAACATTTTGATTCTTCATGTTTTTTTGAAGATTTCAAGAGCTGAATTTTGAGGTGAAGGCTTATAATGATTATAGTCGGGATGACGTTTTGTTGAAAATTCAAGAAGGTACAACATCCATTTTTTTTATTTCTGACACATTTTAAGAAATGAGAGTTAAACCTGAGTATTGTTAAATACAGCTTCTCATCAACAGTGTCTTTGTTGCTCTGTTAACTGTCATGACGAAAGTCATTGTTCATTTTCTCCACATCATATCTATTGTTTGCGTTGCAAAGGGTTATTCACAACAGTTATTTCTCATTACTTTTCATTTTTTTGAAGCAGAATTAGTTAAGTTTTACATATTTTTTTATTAATACAATAAATGCCACAGAGTGATCATCCTCTTCATGATCCACTTCCTCCAATAAAAGTTGAAAAACCTGGTTTATCTTCTCAGGCACAGAGAAGCACAAAACAAGGGCAAAACAATACGCTTGTTAGGATTTTAGTATTTATAGCTTTTTAACCATTTTGATCTTTGTTTTTGGGATGCAGCAGGTTGTGTATGAAAGGCTTGTTGTAGACATCGTTTAGTGTTTATTTGTGCAACTTTTGTTTGACTTAGAATGTTTTTTGTGGAATATATTCAGAATGATTGTGTTTACTTTGTTATTTACTTTATTTAGCTTTTTTGGTATTTTTGTTCTGACATCTGGATGTAATTTCTGCAATAATTATTCACATTGATATGCAGGAAATAAGTTAACTTTAGAGATAGTGATATATATTTTTTTATTATTGTATCGACACATGGTTTTCTAAATGAATTTTGGTTCTGTTTAATCCACAATTTTCTTTTGGTTTCAGTCGCTGCTGCTGATCATGTAGATGCAGACTGTTTCGTCTGCATCTTTTTAAGTCATGGGGAAGATGGCCATGTTTATGCCAATGATAAGAAGATCGAAATACCTGAAATTACTGATTTGTTCAAGGGGGATAAATGTCGTAGTCTTGTGGGTAAACCCAAGATCTTCATCTGGCAGGTAATTGTGTTCTTCACAAAATGTCATCCACAAATCGGCATGTGAATTTAGATCTCATTTAAATCTGTGGTTTCTTTGAAAAACCAGGCTTGCCGTGGTGACAATCTGGATGATGCTGTGACTGAAATGAGTGTGGAGGATGTTGAAATGGCTGTAGATGCAGGAGTGCTTTACACCCTTCCAGCAGGAGCAGATTTCATTATGTGTTACTCAACAGCTGAAGGTCAGTGTTTATATCTTTGTTTCGTTTTACTGAGATTTTATTATTGTTTTTCTTTTAACAACTTGGATGCAATGTACCTCCATTACTGTAATGTCAGACTTTTAAAAATTAATTGCATTGTTTATTTTCTTTTAAAGGATTTTGCTCTTTTCGTGAACCCTTGAATGGCTCATGGTACATTCAGGATCTGTGTGAAATCTTGGGGCGTTATCATTCAGAGCTACAGTTCACTGACATCCTGACGCTTGTTAACATGAAAGTTTCATTGCGCTCTGTACCAAACTGCAGGAATCGCGCTGCTATTGGCAAAAAACAGATGCCTTGCTTTGCGTCCATGCTCACAAAGAGGCTGTTTTTCAGAGACAATACTCAGATGCAATAGTGTTTTACTCCATGGCAATTTCAAATTCAGGGATTTTTTCATTTTCTTTTGGTGGGTTTGATTTTCCCAATTAAGATGTGATCCTGGAACGTCATTTCTGTTTTAAAATCTTATCCTTACCCTTAAACCTAACTTTAAATAAGTCCACAAATCTGAGTATTTTGATATGACATAGACTACATATTTTTAGAGGCATTAAGCATTTTAGTCATTGTGTAATAACATATCTTTTGACCTGTTGTTATGTTTTTATTGTTTTTTTCCAGTTTTGTTGTACATTGCACTTGTTTTGTAAAGCCTAAAAATAAAGTGTGATCTTTTCCTATGTAATGTGATTATTCTGACCTGTTAGAATGTGCATTCCAATAATTCAGTAATATGTTCTACATGTGACCTCTGCTAGTATATGTAAGTTATACATTCCTACATTTAGATTTCTTTTTACATTTATATCTATTTATTACCTCAGCAAATATGAATTAATAGTGTCATTCTCTTGTTTGACTTATGTGACTTATGAAAAAGTATGTATGTATTTACTGATTTGTTTTCTTGAAGACCGCACCTAAAAATAAACAGGGCTTTTGTAATACATGTTTATAAAGGAAAAGGTTTGTGCAGCCCTAGTATAATGGGAAAACTGAACAGTCTTAATCAAAGTACAGTTCACTTTTTAATTTGTAGTGAACTGATGTAATGTAATGTATTTTTTATATAATGCCATGTCAGCAACCAAGGCTATCTTCATGGCAGGAATCTTTCAACAATAAATATACAATTTAAAAATAAAAAAAATAAAACATTAATTAAATAAGATTTTTTTAATACATTGAATACATGATAAAAATTCTAAAATCTTTTCTGGTTTCACTTTTTCAAAAATGTCCTTAAAAGAGTTAATTTCATAAAAAGTCCTTCTGGAATCAGTAAAAGCAGGACAGTCCAGTAAAATATGTTTTATAGTAAGAGGAGTTTTGCAGCACAAACTCTGAGTAGGGTTTTCACCTTGGAGCAAAAAACCATGTGTTATTCTTGTATGCCCAATACGACATCTGGTAAAAACTACTTGATCAAATCGATTCTTAAAATGTCTTAAAATTCGTAATCCTTGATGATGTACTGTATTGAGGATCTCAATACAGTACATCATCTGTATTGAGGATCTGTTTATACGAGTTTCTGGCAGAAACATAAATTATACTCCCATAATCCAAACGGGATCGAATGAGAACTCGATAAAGACGCAAAAGTACAGTTAAATCTGCTCCCCATTTAGTTTTTGCCAACACTTTGATTATGTTCATAGCTTTCAAGCACTTGTTTTTTAACAACTTCATATGAGGGATAAAAGTCATTTTGTTGTCAAAAAGAAGACCTAAAAACTTGATTTCTTTGACAACTTTGATCTGAAAATGTGTGCAAACAGTTTTGGTTCTAGAGAATTTAAAACCATTTTCAACAGACCACTGGTTAATTCTGTGAATACATAACTTTAGCTGCCTTTCAATTGTGCTCATATTCTTCCCTTTGTAGCAGATACAAAGATTATCTATCATAAAGGCTGCAGAACATGTCTGGTCGAATGATTTCCACAATGCTATTGATCTTGATGCTGAAGAGTGTGACAGAGAGTATACTTCCTTGAGGAACTCCAAGTTCTTGTTTGTGATCATTTGATAGAGAATTTCCCACTTGAACTCTAAAGTTCCTTCTAGTGAGAAAGTTTGGGATGAAGATAGGAAGCCTTCCTCTAAATCCCATTCTGTAAAGATCTTTTAAATTTCCATACCTCCATGTTGTATCATATGCTTTTTCCAAATCAAAAAAGACCGCAACAACATGTTCTTTCCTGATGAATCCGTCTCTGATATAGGTTTCTATTCGAATTAATTGATCCAACGTGCTCTTTCTACGTCTAAATCCACACTGGTAGTCAGTTAATTGTTTATTTGATTCCAGTATCCAGACAAGAAGGTTATTAATCATTCTCTCCATAGTTTTACATAAACAACTGGTTAGAGCAATTGGTCTGTAGTTATTTGGATCAGAGGGGTCTTTTCCTGGTTTAGGTATAGGTATTACTGTTGCTTCTTTCCAGGAAGCTGGTATTTTACCAGGAGACCAGACAAGGTTAAAACTATCCAATAAAAGACATAGATAACTATGTGGTAAGTGTTTTAAGAACTGGTAATGAATTTTATCTGGATCAATAGCTGTATCATGTGAACATTTTAAGGAGTTCATTAATTCTTCAATCTTAAAAGGTTGGTTGTATACTTCCTTGTTATCAGAACTAAAATTTAGTTCTTTACATTCCTGCTGTGCTCATATTAGCTGAAATTCAGGAAGGCAGTTTTCTATTGACGAGTTTTTTCCAAAGGATTCAGCCAGCGTATTTACTATATCCATCTTGTAGTGAACTGATAACAAATACAGAAGGCAAAGGTCAGACTTATAAGGATATTTATTACAGACAGATGTGTACATAGATGCAGAGACGATATGAATACTCCATTCAGGCATCAAACACAGAGTGAGGTGCGTCTGTCTCCACTGATTATGCTTAAAATCCATACATACAATTCCACCCAGAACCTTGAATGATCGCTGCAAGCACCAATACCAGCTACAGCTTTCCTAAAGGAATGTGTTAAACGTAATTAAACCCTAGCTCTGGAAGTAAAAGTAGCTGATTATTCAGTTAAACCATGGACAAACCACTTGCGTGAGCTTCATCGACTAAAGCAAACCAAGGAGACGCTAAATGATTGTAAGGGAATGCCCTCCACACTCTAGACAGTAGGTAGTTTTAAAATCTCCCATTGAAGAATAAATGCGCAGAGATACATTCTTCATCACTAAATACAAGAGCTATTATTTATCAAAATATATATATATATATATATCTTTTGCGTGATTTCTTTTTTTTTTGGAATGAACAGTAGGCTGTATTTTGTCTCACTATGATGTGTCTCTAGTTAAAATTGGAATTAAATACGCCATGATTGCCTCTGCGGTCTTTAACTATTTAAAGCATAAATTAAAACGCCATCCATTTATCTACTTGAATGCATTGCCACTCTTAGCCATGATGTTTTTCACATGTTTGCATGGCAATCCATTCACAAAGTGCAGAGTGTGCCCTATTTTGTGGACCTTTTAGAATAGAATCAGTGGTCTTTAATATAATTATTCTCGCATGTATTATAAGCAATAACAGCTCAAAATGACTGAAAACAAAACACATTCATACACTAAACTCAATATTGACTTCTCCAGCAAGGAATAATTAAATGTCATCTCATATGATGACAAAAGTGAAGACTTTAAACTCAAGAAGCCTCAAAGTTTTTCCTCTATTTGGTCTCGGCTGACGATTAAAGTTCACACAAAAGCCAAATCTATTGCACTTTTCCAAAAAAAAAAACAGTTCTTAACCTGGAAAACCCTATAAAGTGTAAAAACATCCAGTCACATTGCAGAGCTTTATCATTCGAATGATTTGTGGTGAAGTACACCGTTGCTTCAAAGCATATCTCTTGGAGAGTCTGGGAATAAGAGTTACCTATTAGTGTTTATAAGCTTCCCATGATCAAACATTAATGCCCACTAACAACATACTTGAACAAGCACGGTTATTATGGTGATGAACTGCTTCTCTAACGATTATCCGTTACACATTGGAGCAGACAGAGTCACACAAACTATCTTTACAACCCAAATGGAACGAAAGAGACTGGATGATGGAATGGGCTGCTGATTGCACAGAGAAAGAGGCAACAAAATCAAACCGATATAAGAGAAACAAAATGATTGGCCAGCGTCTCAGTAGCGTGTCGTGTACCAGTCGTTGTCGGTCATCTGCACCAGTTCGTTTACCACGTCCAGCAGGTTGCGGTTGTGTTTCTGCAGTAGACGTTGGTTTAGAGCTCGATCACCGAAGCCCATCTCCACCAGCACCGCCATCATGGCGTCTTGAGAAGCTGCATCCTCTGGGAGCTACAGAGACGGAACAAAAAAGGACTAGGTGACACATGTCTTGCATTTTTTATTACGCTATGTTGAGTGTATGAATTTAGCAAGGTTATTTTGCATTTCAGTGTTTGGAGACTTGTTCCTTGTTTAAAAAAAAAAAAGCAGCTGTAACTTTATTTTGCTATTCAGGTTTCTTTTAGTTTCCAAAATTACAGGTTTATACTTCATAGTGTAGACTTTTACTGTCAGAATCTTCCAGAAATTTTCCAGGAAATTTTTAGATGTTTAGGTGGTAAGAGCATTTTTTTGTCACTGTGACTTTATATCTCACAATACTTTACGATTTTTAACTGTGTCTAGAAGTTGTCCAACAATCCATACGTCAGTTTTTTGGTCAACTGCAACATTCATGTATTTAAAGTGGGTGTTTCTTAGTATTGTCTGTGTGAAAATACTGCACATTGTCCTGTTATTTATGAGTTTTGGTCCAACATTATTGAATTGTTTTCCAGTGCTTATGGAACCAATATCCAACCTGACTACAATTTGGCTATTTTTGGATATTTTAATATAATGGACCTTTCTGTTAACCCAAGGCCTGATGCCTGGCATGATTACAGCTAATGGCGCATTCAGACTGCATGTTTTTCCAAGTAGTCGTGTCACAGATGTTTTCACACTGCGTGACTATCTGGGCTAGTGTTTCGTCGCTGCTTTGTTTACACTGCAAGTTTGATCTGCGACAGGGGATTTCACACTGCATGACTTTATAATGGGGAGAATTGCTGAAAACTTTGTCCAAACTACATCTCACAAAAAAACACGTAGTATATCTTTTGTTATTAACTACATAATGAGAAAGAAGCCTTTAGGGGGGTAGAAAATATACATATTTGCTCACCTAGGTTTAAAGGGAATTAGCAATTTCTCCTCAACTTTTTTCTTTTTTTTGACCCGGTTGTGGTATTGCTCACATGACATGTCAAACAGACAAATTTCCACTAGTTTTTCCTCCATTTCTTGAGTTCAAATAAACTGAAAATGAGTGTTTTTAACTTCTCCCACAACCTCCCGCTGGCCTGCAGCGTACTAGTGGTTGCTGCTCTCTCATTGGCTGTTGGTGATCGCCAATGTTATTTTCAGTCAAAACTCATTTCACACGGCATGATTTGAATCGCCAACAGCACCAGATATTTAGTACGCCAAATATCTCATGGGCATCAGCGACTCATCTGCGATTCTCTCAGATCGCGTCTTTGATAGTTCACACTGTGCAATTGTTACTCGCATGAGCGAAAACCGATTTGCCTGTGATTTCAGACATTTGTCTGTGATTTCTCAAATCCTGTT